TATCCTTTTCTCATCCCCCTCTGTTCTAACTTCTTAACTCTTCTTACTCCCTTAGAGTAAGGGTTTGGGAGCCAACTTCCTTTTGTAGGTTATGTGGCTGTTCTGTCTCTTAACATTCTTTGGCATCTGCTATTTGTCCCCTTAGGATCTTGGGCAAACTTTCGACTTAAATGCCTGTTATATTTAAAGGTCCACAATCTCTCAGCAAAAGCTCTTAGAACCCGGATTCCCTGGTTCTACATCCTCACCAGCACTTGCTATTATCAGATCTTTTCATTTCTTCCATCCTGATAAGTGTATCGTGATATCACTCGCATTTTTTATTTGCAGGTCCCTGTTCACTGTTGAGGTCAAGCACCTTTTCATACACTTGTTAGCTATTTGGATATTCTCTTTTCAATTCTCATGCCCATTTTTCTACCTGTTGTTTGTCTTTTTCTTATTCATCCCTACAAGTACCTTATGTTTTCTGGAAATAATCGATGTTGGTTCGGGTCTTCCAGGAAGATGTCAGGACAGGATCCGATAGACATGCAAGAGATTTATTGGGAGAAATGGCTGTGAGGGGTAAAGAGGAAGGCGCAGAAGGAGGCAGGGAGAGTCTTCTATGTGATGCAGACCTGCCCCTGGGAAGGAGAGAAGGGAGGAAGGAGGATGGTGTCTAAGAAAGGTTCGTTCAGCCCTGAACCAAAGCTGCCTGATAGAGGAATGGAACCCTGGTCTCAGCAGCAGAGGCCTGCGTTAGTGCCTCCTTGTGCTGGGGCCTCTGCACCAGCTGGCGGAGGACAGTGGGGTAGCAGCTGGGCTGGGGTCACCTATGCTCCCTGAAGTCAGTTCTCTTGAACAGCTCTGAGCCCTTTGTCAATTGCATGTGTTGCAAATACATCTTTCACTTTTATTTATTTTAAAGTTTATTTTTTAACGTTTTGGCCGCACCACGCGGCATGTGGGATCTTAGTTCCCTGACCAGGAATCGAACCCACGCCCCCTGCATTGGAAGCTCGGAGTCTTAACCACTGGACCACCAGGGAAGTCCCTCATCTTTCACTTTTTTACTCTCAGAGTTCCTCTTCACTCTCCTGATGGTGTATTTTGATGAATAGACATTTTTAATTTTAATGTATTTCAATCCATCAAACTTTTCCTTAATGATTATTGCTTCCTGTATCCTATGTAGGAAAATTTACCCTAATTGAAATCATTAACATAGCCTTACATTATCTTTTTTTTTTTTTAATTAATTAATTTATTTATTTTTGGCTGTGTTGGGTCTTCGTTTATGTGCAAGGGCTTTCTCCAGTTGCAGCAAGTGGGGGCCACTCTTCATCGCGGTGCGCGGGCCTCTCACTGTCGCGGCCTCTCTTGTTGCAGAGCACAAGCTCCAGATGCGCAGGCTCAGTAGCTGTGGCTCACGGGCCTAGCTGCTCCGCGGTATGTGGGATCTTCCCAGACCAGGGCTCGAACCCGTGTCCCCTGCATCGGCAGGTGGACTCTCAACCACTGCGCCACCAGGGAAGCCCAGCCTTACATTATCTTTTGAAGCTTGCTTGCTGTATGTCTTTTGTTTCTTTAACATCTTTATTGGAGTATAATTGCTTTACAATGGTGTGTTAGTTTCTGCTGTATAACAAAGTGAATCAGCAATATGCATACGTATATCCCCATATCTCCTCCCTCTTCCGTCTCCCTCCCACCCTCCCTTGCTTGCTGTATTTGTTTGTTTGTTTATAATTTATTATGACTTTTACATTTAGATCTGCAATCTACCCAGCATTGATTATGGTGTACAGTGAGAGGTCTGGGCCAAAACTTGTAACTATTCATGTAAAGATCCAATTGCCTCAGTACTATTGACTAAAAAGGCAATCTTGTCCACTGCTCTGTGGCACCATCTTTCTCTGAAGGGTACATATATTCGTGAGTTTGTTTCTGAGCTTTTTATTCTATTCTACTGGCCTACTTCATGCATCCTTTTGGAGGGCAAAAGTATTTTAGATATTACAGTGGTTTGTGGCCTCCAAAGGGCCAGATATACAGTGTATCTGTAGGGTCTGTACACAAATTTTGTAAGGTCTGTACACAAATGTTCACTGAAGCACTATTCATAATAATAAAAAACTAGAATCAACTCAGTTTCCTTCATATGGGTGGGTAGTTAAACAAACTGTGGTACATCCATACCATGGAACATGACTCAGCAATAAAAAAGAAACTACCGGGGGCTTCCCTGGTGGCGCAGTGGTTGAGAGTCCGCCTGCCGATGCAGGGGATATGCGTTCGTGCCCCGGTCCGGGAGGTTCCCACATGCCGCGGAGCGGCTGGGCCCGTGAGCCATGGCCGCTGAGCCTGCGCGTCCGGAGCCTGTGCTCCGCAACGGGAGAGACCACAACAGTGAGAGGCCCGCGTACCGCAAAAAAAAAAAAAAAAAAAGTAACTACTGATACATACAGCACTCTGATGGATCTCAAGAGAATTATGCTGAGAAAAGCCAATCTCCAAAGGCTACCTACTGTATGATTCTTTTTCTAAAACATAAATTTATTTATTTATTATTCATTTATTTTTGCTGCGTTGGGTCTTCGTAGCTGCGCGTGGGCTCTCTCTAGTTGCAGGGAGCTAGGGCTACTCTTCATTGTGATGCATGGGCCCCTCATTGTGGTTGCTTCTCTTGTTGCGGAGCACAGACTCTAGAGCACAGGCTCAGGAGTTGTGGTGCACAGGCTTAGTTGTTCCACGGCATGTGGGATCTTCCTGGACCAGGGCTTGAACCTGTGTCCCCTGCATTGGCAGGTGGATTCTTAACCACTGAGCACCAGGGAAGCCCCTACATAACATCCTGGAAATGACAAAATTATACAGATGGAGAACAGATTAGTTACCAGGGGTCAGGGATTAGAGCTGGTGGGAGGTTGTAAAGGGTAGCACAGCGAGCACTTCGTGGTGATAGAACTGTTCTGTATCTTGACTGCACTGGTAGGTGTAGGAATCTACACATGTGATCAAATTGCACAAATACATACACGCACACACACACACACATACACACAAAGGAATGTGTGTATAATTTGTGAAATCTGAATAAGCTCTGTGGGTTGTATTAGTGTCAATTTCCTGGTTTTGATACTGTACTGTAGTTGTGCAAGAGGTTACCATTGGGGGAAACTGGGTGAAGAGTACACTGGACCTCCCTGAATATATATATATATATATATATATATATATATATATATATATAGTGTGCGCAATTTCGTGAATCTAGATTTTTTTTCCAAATAGGAAGTTTTACTGTTTTTCAGAGGCGAAGGGGTAATTAGGGGGGAAAATGATCTAAAAAGACCCTCTATGAGGACACTAAAGAAACAGTGGTCTAGCCCATCTTAATTACTGTAGCTTTGTAATAAACCTTGATGTCTAGTGAAACAAACCTGGTGAGAAAGTAATTTCGCCTTTAGGTTCCTGCCTCCGAGAGATCAAAGTCCAGTGATTAGATGAATGTAGGATTGAGGAGGTGGAAAAGAAATGGGGTATTTCTCCTCTTACAGTAAATCCTGGGCTGTGCTGGCAAAATCCCTCATCGAGCTTTCTGGGGGAATTGCAAATGTTCTGTGTCCTGAGGGGGATGGCAGTTATGGGACATAGACATTTGCCAAAACTCATTGACCTGTCTGCTTCAAGTCTGTGCATTTTTTTTTTCTTTTTTGCGGTACGCGGGCCTCTCACTGTTGTGGCCTCTCCCGTTGCAGAGCACAGGCTCCGGACGCGCAGGCCCAGCGGCCATGGCTCATGGGCCCAGCCGCTCCGCGGCATGTGGGATCCTTCCAGACCGGGGCACGAACCCGTGTCCCCTGCATTGGCAGGCGGACTCTCAACCACTGCACCACCAGGGAAGCCCAAGTCTGTGCATTTTATTGCATGTAAATTATAGCTCTGTCCTTCACTATTCACTCCACGCCTTCAATCCAACAAATCTCATCAGTCTCCTCAGTGAGACCAGGCCCCATCTCTACAGTCACTTGGGAAAAAAAAGAGTGAAAAGAGGAAAAAGAAGTGAAGCAAGTAGAGAGAAGACAGAGAGGATCACCGGCCCAGCCTTCACCTTGTCACACTTGGCTGGAATGATGGTCCCCAAATACAGGGGCTCCACCTGTCCTGGGCAATAAAACACACACCTCCAGCCCATTCCTAGCAGCTCTTAATGCTCTTACAGTACAGTGAATTAAGACAGCAGCTCCATGAATACTCTGAGTCGAAAAGATACGTGCACCCCAATGTTCACAGCAGCACTATTTACAATAACCAAAACATGGAAGCAATCTAAGCGTCCATCAACAGATGAATGCATAAAGAAGATGCGGCACATATATACGATGGAATTTTACTCAGCCATAAAAATGAATGAAATAATGCCATTTGCAGCAACATGGATGGACCTAGAGATTGTACTGAATAAAGTAAGTCAGACAAAGACAAATATCATATGATGTCACTTATATGTGGAATCTAAAAAAAATGATACAAATGAACTTATTTACAAAACAGAGCCAGACTCATAGACGTAGAAAACAAACTTATGGTTACCAAAGGAGAAAGGTGGGGGAGGGATAAATTAAGAGTTTAGGATGAACAGATACACACTACTAAATATAAAATAGACAAGCAACAAGGACGTACTGTACAGCACAGGGAACTATATTCAATATCTTGTAATAAACTATAATGGAAAATATCTGAAATTTTATATATATATGAATCGCTTTGCTCTACACCAGAAACTAACACAACATTGTAAATCAACTGTGCTTCAATTAAAAAAAAAAAAAGATAGTGGCTCTGTTTCCATTCATCGTTGGGTTCATTTTCAGTAAATCTGCCATCAATAACTATTTGTGAACAAATGCATGTGCGCATATTGCTAAACTAAAATGTTCTTTTTGAAATTCACCTTTTAAAAAACCAGATTAAGTTACTCATCGGAATATTTGCTTCTCTCTCACTCCCAGGGAACAAATGTGACATGTGGGAAAAACGGCATGTTCTGTTTGAGGATGCCTGCACACTGGCTGAGAAATATGGCCTCCTGGCTGTCTTGGAGACATCTGCCAAGGAGTCCAAGAACATCGACGAGGTCTTCGTGCTGATGGCCAAGGAGTTGATGGCCCGCCACAGCCTGCCCTTGTATGGGGAGGGCACCCTGGGCAGCCTCCCCCTGGATTCCAGTCCTGTCCTCACGGCCCCGGGGCCGAGGAAGCAGAGCCAGTGCACTTGTTGAGCAGAGGCCACCTCCGAAACCAAGGGCAGCAGATGGCCTCGTGTCTGCTGAGTAGACCTCGGACCCCAGTGTGGACTTGCAGCTGGTCCTACTCCTTCCTGCCTGGTGGGGGGGGCACCCATTTGCCTCAGTTCACACCAGAGGGGGAAACCCTGACTCTGAGGATAGAGGACACCACTGTTTCTCTTGACTTTTCCTAGGACTCAAGGCCCAGCGGTAGGACAAGATTTGTTCCTTTTCATCTTTCCCTTTTCTGTCTCCCCAACCCTTCAGCTGTTTTCTACTGAACTCTGCTTCTCACTTGAAGAAGAGGGTAGTGAAGGAAAGAAGAAAAGAGAAGTGGAAGAAGGAAAGAAGACAGGAGAGAAGGTGTTTGGAACATTGCAGAGTAGTTGAAAACAGTGTGGGCGTGGGAAGATGGGGAAAAAGCCTGCAATGACGAACCAGATGCTGTTAACTTTTGCTTCCTGACATTCACACCTCGGGTCTTAGTTTGGGGGGCAAAGCTTTTCGACCTAAAGACCATAAATACGGTCTTGCCAAATGGTCAGGAGCCATGCGATGGAGAGAGAATTAGATTTCACTTTATCCGAGTTGGGCGGATTGGACCACCCTCCTAGGATGAGGGAGATGCCTATAATTTCTTTCCAAAACACCCAATCATCTGCTGGATCAAAAGTCATTTCTGAATTGAAATTAAATTGGCTCATAGACAAATATCAAACCAGTATTGACCTTGCTGGATGGCCGGGGCATGCTGTGTACCCTCTGGAAGCTGTGAGTCATAAGCCTTGTGTCTGCATAGCTCCCTGATGGTTGCTGCTGAGGGTGTCTTACAATCCTAATAAGTACTGCAAGTGTTGGTCCAGCCACAGCATCAGCTCTGAAAGAGGAAATGTCTGTCCGGGGCGTACCCAGGGTGCACGTGAGTCCCCCCCCAGGCATTTCTAGTTGTAGTACCGTTATCTGTAGGCTGAGACCAGCACAAAACAAATAGCCACTAGCCACGTGTGACTGAGTACTTGAAATTGGCTAATTTGAATTTGATGAGCTCTGAATGTAAAATACATACCAGAATTTGAAGACTTATTATGAAAAAAAAATGTAAAGTATCTTCCTAATAATTTTTATATTGATTATATGTTAAAATGATATTTTAGATTAATATCATTCTAGGTTAATAAAATATATATTAACATTTCAGCTGTTTCTTTTTACTTTTTTTAATGTGGCAACTAGAAAATCTTAAATTATGTGTGTGGCTGGCTCACACCATATGCCCATTGGACAGTACAATAGAGCAATGCTTCTGTAGTGGAATTCCCCAACCACACCTATGACAGGGGCCAGGGGATGCTTGTCTAGGATTCCTGACACCCATGGCTGACTGACTGAATCTTTCCAGAAACCCACACTTCACCAAGCTTGCCAGGTGATTCTCCCTGCACTAAACCTTGAGAACTACTACCATACAGAGGTTAGGTGAGGATGGGAGTGTAACCACAGAGAATAAATTAAATTTAATTCACAGCAATATATATTCATTTTTGAAGCAAACAACTTACCTTTTGGAAACATGAGGGAAATCTATTACAAGCCAGAAATAATAAATGCATCAAAGCAGATTAACCTTTTTTCACATACATGTTCTTGTTCTAAAGAAGGGGGTTATGTGAAGCAGGAGTTCACAAGGCAGATCAGGAATACACCTGTACCAAGTCACTGGGCAATTTTCAGAGGAAGCAGTGAGCAGACACTCATTAAGAAGGGGAAGGAAAGGAAGGGACTTCCCTGGTGGCGCAGTGGATAAGACTCTGTGCTCCCAGTGCAGCAGGCCTTGGTTCGATCCCTGGTCAGGGAACTAGATCCCACATTCATGCTGCAACTAAGAGTTCACATGCCACAACTAAGGAGCCTGGGAGCCACAACTAAGGAGACCGCCTGCTGCAACTAAGACCTGGTGCAACCAAATAAATAAATAAATATTAAAAAAAAGAAGAAGGGGAAAGAAAACTGAGTGGGTCAGGGGAAAGTGTGCAGACAAGAGGCTGAGCAGGATAGGAGATTAATGGTTCACACCAATGCTCCTTCATTTATCTGCACATCAGTCTCAACCAATACTCTAAAACCTCATCAGCTTCTAGGATGATGCCCTCTGCAGGTTATCTGGAATTAATACATTCCTATCAACAGGTTACACACGTGAGAACAAGGTCACCTGAACACCAGCAACCTGTAATTAACCAGCGTGGGCTCCTGTTGAAATGATGGTGCTGGGACAGAAGTACTGGAAAGGGCAAGCAGAGCGGAGCAGCTTCCCTGGGTGAGGGCGCACAAATGCCTGCTCTGAAAAGAGGCGCAGGCTTTTCTGAAGCTCAGAGCAGGCTTGTACCACACTGTGAAGCTCTCACTCAGGCAGGCGCTGCTTTAGAGCCACGGTCCAGGAAGACTCTCCGTTAACTGAAGCTGGCACTTTTCTCACATCCTCAAAACTGTATAGTTGTTAACAAGGGAATTATATGAAATTCAGTTCCAAAAGGGACATTTTGGAAGAAAAAAAGATTATAGATGTATAATCTATAACTAATGATAGATAACTAATGTAGAACCTACTGTACAGCACAGGGAACTCTACTCAGTGCTCTGTGGTGACCTAAATGGGAAGGAAATCCAAAAAGGAGGGGATATATGTATACGTATAGCTGATTCATTTTGCTATACAGCAGAAACTAACACAACATTGTAAAGCAACTATACTCCAATGAAAATTAATAAAAAAAGATTATGAAAGTCTCTATTTCGTCTGCCAGTGTCAAGTACATCTCCATGTATGAGAAAATCTTTCAGTTAATATTTCATTGTTCATAGATTACTCCTGAATCTCTTCCCCACTCTATTACTGAAAAGGTCTATTAGTAGTAACAGTAATAGTACTACTACGGTAATAATAATGGCAAACACATACGGCAATTACTATGTGCCTGGCACTGTACCAGGCTTTTTTTTTTTTTTTTTGGCCGCGTGGTTTGCGGGATCTTAGTTGCCTGACCAGGGAAGGAACCTGGGCCCCCCTGCAGTGGAATTGCACAGTCCTAACCACTGGACCACTAGGGAATTCCCCAAGCATTTTATTTACACTAACTCAGTGCATCCTGTCAACTATTTTTGAAGTAGGTACTATTTGTAACTCCTATTTTAAAAATGAGGCTATGATTGTGTCCATCATCGGATGAATGGATAAAGAAGATGTGGCACATATATACAATGGAATATTACTCAGCCATAAAAAGAAATGAAATTGAGCTATTTGTAATGAGGTGGATAGACCTAGAGTCTGTCATACAGAGTGAAGTAAGTCAGAAAGAGAGAGACAAATACTGTATGCTAACACATATATATGGAATTTAAGAAAAAAAAAGTCATTAAGAACCTAGGGGTAAGACAGGAATAAAGACACAGACCTACTAGAGAATGGACTTGAGGATATGGGGAGGGGGGAGGGTAAGCTATGACAAAGCGAGAGAGAGGCATGGACATATATACACTACCAAACGTAAAATAGATAGCTAGTGGGAAGCAGCCGCAGAGCACAGGGAGATCAGCCCTGTGCTTTGTGACCACCTGGAGGGGTGGGATAGGGAGGGTGGGAGGGAGGGAGATGCAAGAGGGAAGAGATGTGGGAACATATGTATAACTGATTCACTTTGTTATAGAGCAGAAACTAACACACCATTGTAAAGCAATTATATACTCTAATAGGAAAAAAAAAGGAAAAAATAAATAAATAAAAATGAGGCTATGAGACACGGAGAGATTAAGGTCACACAGCTAGTAAGTGGCAGAGCCAGGATGCAAAACCAAATCACCTGGCTCCAGAGCCCACTCTTAACAGTTATGCTACACTGTCTCTCAGATAATGACCAGTATTGGATTTGGGCTCCATCATGTTAACTCCTCATCACCCTCTACACACACAAAAATACACTCACCGCAAGATAACTCACAAACATACATTTCAATATCCTTCAAAGTAAAGTTGTGCAGCTCTCTCTCTAAAAGAAGCTGAAGGGGGACTTCCCTGGTGGCACAATGGTTAAGAATCCGCCTGCCAATGCAGGGGGCACAGGTTCATGCCCTGGTCTGGGAAAATCCCACATGCTGCGGAGCAGCTAAGCCCGTGCGCCACAACTACTGAGCCCGCGTTGCCACAACTACTGAAGCCCGCGTGCCTAGAGCACAAGAGAAGCCACCGCAATGAGAAGCCTGAGCACCACAACACAGTAGACCCTGCTTGCCGCAGCTACAGAAAGCCTGCACACAGCAAGGAAGACCGAACGCAGCCAAAATAAACAAATAATAAATTTATATATAAAAAAAACGCTGAAGAGGCGAGGAGGGGGTGGGGAAGGGGCAGGATAGAGAAAGGGTAGCAGGTTGAGTGGATTGCGCCAGTCCTGTTTAACTGTGGGGGAATTACGGAGGAACTGTGCCTGAAATACAACCGGCCCAGGCTGAATGCTCTGACTTTTGAACAGGGATGATGTAGAAACTCCAGTTCCATCATATGTAAGGTGACGTAGCTGATTCAGGGCAAACCAGGCTGGCTTCCACCAGCCATTATGACCCAAGGGTTAGATTGAAAGGATGGGGAAGGACTCGGCCAGTGGTACACATCGCAGCTCCCCACAGGTCGCTTGTAAACCTCCAGATGATTGAGAAGAGGTTCTGGGGATTCATATCACCAAAGGCAATAACAGTGCCTGCTTAATTTTTCTTTATTTTCAATAATATCGGTATAATCTGTTCAAGAGCCTGTGATCAATTACCGAATGAACATGTGTAGATTTTACAATTCACAAACGATTCACTAGTTGGTTTACCACCAGCAGAAGGGGAGCTGCTAAAGTGTTTTTGACATCCTACAGTTTCTTTTCAGTTTATTCTTAACCATATATTGTTTAATTTATACCTCAAAATAATTGCCAAAGACTGGAAGCACCA